GACAGAAATTACACAACACAGGATTTGCAAAATCTGACCCACATATTTGGCACCTGCTGTCTGAATATTAGCTGTTTTATACAACTTTATTAGAAATTTTGTGTTTCACACATCCCACATCTGCTGAAGCATGAATCACAATTATGTCCAGGTCACAATAAAACATTTTTTTTTTATAATTGATCAAAATAAAATAATAAAAAAATAAAAAATAAAAGTCTTTTTTTGGAGTTTGCATCATTAAATTAAATTAAATTAAATTTATTTTGGTGTCTAAAAAATAAATAAACACAATATCATATTTTGGTGTATAAATTCATAGAAATAAAAATAAATAAATAAATAAATAAATAAATAAATAAATAAATAAATAAATAAATAAATAAATAATAAAAAATTATAAAATAAAATAAAAGTTTTGGAGTCTGCATCACTAAAATTAAATTAAATTAAATTAAATTAAATTAAATTAAATTAAATTAAATTAAATTAAATTAAATTTAATTAAATTAAAATTAAATTAAATTAAAATAAAATAAAATAAAATAAAATAAAATAAAATAAAATAAAATAAAATAAATTAAATTAAAATAAAGAAGTTTTTTCACTCCTACACTACAGACAATTTAGCCAACCCAATTCACCTGTACCACATACAGTATCTTTGGACTATGGGGGAAACCGGAGCACCCGGAGGAAACCCACGCGAAGGCAGGGAGAACATGCAAACTCCACACAGTACCGTCAACTGAGCCGAGGTTCGAACCAGCAACCCAGCGACCTTCTTGCTGTGAGGCGACAGCACTACTTACTGTGCCACTGCCTCGCCTCAATTACCATTTACATTATTACAATTTTTGTTATTACAGTAATGAAATGTCATAAATAGAGCCTTTCTTTACTTTTTTCTTTTTACTTCATGCAAAACCAAATTAGTTTAAAATTCTTCATTGTGACCTGGACATAGTCGTGCTTCACACTCTTCATATTCTCACCTCCTCTAAGTCCTTTTTTCCAACATACCACACAAACCCTCCTCATATACTTTATATATACACACCCAACATTTGTCATTTCCCACAATCCTTATCAACTTCCTGTTACCTTTTGACCTGCATCATCTCCGTGTCTCCACCTTCCAGCATAGAGATTTTCACCTTCATCCTCAGCTCTTCATCATAGTGACTTGTCCTCCTGTTTCTCAGCTCTCCTCAATTCTTCATGCAGTTGTGAAGTGTTTTGTGTTCTGCTGATAGATGGGATGTCGCCTGTACTCTCTCTGTTTCTTTTTCTCTTTCACCATCAGCTTCATCCTAAATCATGCTCCTCTGAGAGGTTTTTCGACATTGATACTTTGGAGACTTTTGAAGATTTGCTGTTTCGAGGCCAAACGGGTTTCTCTATTTTCATTTTTTTCATCCAAATAAAGGGTTTTTTTCCAAATATAATAAGACTTTTCTGTTTGTATACAGATGAAGTCAGAATTATTACCCCCCCCCCCCCCCATCTCCACCCCAATACAATTTGAACACATTTCCAAATACACAGTATAAGTCAGAATTATTAGCCCCCCTGTTTATTTTTCCTCCAATTTCTGTTTGATTTATGTTTTCAGTTTACATAATAGTTTTAATAACTCATTTCTAATAACTGATTTATTTTATCTTTGTCATGATGACAGTAAATAATATTTGACTATATATTTTCATGACACTTCTATACAGCTTAAAGTGACATTTAAAGGCTTAACTAGGTTAATTAGGTTAACTAGGCAGGTTAGGGTAATTAGGCAAGCTATTTTTGTAGACTTAAAAAAATTGCTTAAAGGGGCTAATGATTTTGACCTTAAAATGGTGTTTATAAAATTAAAAAAAAAAACGCTTTTATTCTAGCTGAAATAAAACAAATAAGACTTTCTCCAGAAGAAAAAAATATTATCAGACATACTGTGAATATTTCCTTGCTCTGTTAAACATCATTTGGGAAATAATGTTAGAGGGGGCTAATAATTGTGACTTCAACTATATATTGAAATGAAAATGAGATAGCTTTTAACTAATGACGTACTGTAATTGACAGTGAAATAAGAGGGTCTATGAAGAAGACTATGTCATGCACTGAGGAAGGCGATGTGCTGAAACCTCTGTGTTTTGGATCTCATAAGAATATAAAATAAAGCTATGGAAAGCAATTCTTTAATGAGCTCAAATCATGACCTGGCTAATAATATTGACTTTAAAATGCTTTTTAAGATAAAGAAAATGTATACATTATTATAGATAATTTCATTCTAGCTGAAATGAAACAAATTCTTCCCCTAGAAGAAAAAAAAATATTATAGGAAATACTGTGGAAAATTCCTTGCTCTCTTAAACATCATTTGGGAAATATTTGAGAAATAAAAAACATTCATGGGGGGGCGAATCATTTTAACTTCAACTGTAAGTAAAGCCTGGCTCACAAGGCAATCATTTTTAATATTCATAAACGATTGTTGCATGTCAGACTGCACAGCCATGATCTCCATATGTCACACTGTAAGCTGTCACAGTCAAACTGAATGTAGTGATGGCTGCTTTCGAAACACTGCTTCATGAAGCTTCGACAACTTTACAAATCTTTAGTTTCGAATAAGTGGTTTCAGAGCGCATTACAAACTGGAAAGGTCACAGGCATTTAGTAAATAACGCTTAACTGCTTCAAAACATTTTGAATTGGGCGGAACGACAGTTAGCATCGTCCCCTAACACCAAGAAGGGTGCTGGTTTTAGTCCTGGCTGGGTCAGTTGGCATTTCTGTGTGGAGTTTGCACGTTCTCCCTATGTTAGCGTGAGTTTTCTCTGGGTGTAGATGGATGAACTAAATTGGCCGTAGTGTATGAGTCTGTGTGAATGAGAGAGTGTATGGGTGTATCCCAGTACTGGGTTGCAGCTGGAAGGGCATCCACTACGTAAAACATATTTTGGAGAAGTTGGCGGTTCATTCTGCTGTGGCAATCTCTGATAAATCAGAGGCTTAGCTGAAGGAAAATGAATGAATGAATGAATGAATGAATGAATGAAAACATTGAAAATTCAATTGTTCTCCACTAGGGGCGATCTGTGTAATATCATAAAATCAATACTCAATGAATTCGCACACATTCTAGTGAGACATTTGTCAAATGAAACAGAATTATTGATTTATAAATTGTTAATAGTTTCTTGTTGGAAGGTTTAGCAGAGCCCACCATAAAACAAACAATAAATAAGTCTTGAAAACTTGATCAAGTTATAAAATTTGAAGAACGCATATTATCCGAACATTTAATTAATTCCTTCATTTTCCTTTGACTTAGTCCCTTTATTCATCAGGGGTCGCCACAGCGGAATGAACTGCCAACTTATCCAGCATATGTTTTACGCAGCGGATGCCCTTCCAGCTACAACCCAGTACTAAGAAACATCCATTCACGCTTAATTACACATATACACTACGGCCAATTTAGTTCACCCAATTCACCTATAGCGCATGTGTTTGGACTGTTGGGGAAACTGCAGAGGAAACTGACACCAACATAGGGAGAACATGCAAACTCCATACAGAAATGCCAACTGACCCAGCCAGGACTCAAACCAGCGGCTTTTTTGCTGTGATGCGACTGCTAACCACCGTGTCACCCCAGACATTTAATATTTAATGGCATTAGCTAAGCTGTGTTTTTATAGGTCATACTTTCAATTTAAAGCTTGCAATATGCGTCAGCACCTATAGCCTGGAGGTTAGTTAGTGTGTTTACAACACTACGGTGTTCACTTCTTGAGTGACTATGTTTAGCGGGTCTTGATTGTTGTTCATTCTGACTTTATGACAAGTGAGATCTTACAGTGTGACATAGTAGTCATGTTCATGCAGTCTGACATGCTACAATAGTGTAGGATTATTAAAACTTGCTGAGTCAGAGCCCGGCTTTACTTAAACTGACAGTAAAGTCTTAATATGGTCGGTCTACACTGTTAAACATATGCGAAAAATTAGCATTTTCTGTATTTTGTGATTCGTGTGTTTATTGTTTAGTTTTTTTACCGCATTTAATAACGCTTTTGAATTACATTCTGAGCAATTTTAAGATTGGAAAGTTACCATTTGTAATAGTTTAAAGTGTTATATTGTTTAGGTTGGTGTTATATATTATGCTACAAACACCTTGTAATAAACTGCCAATACATTTTGTGTTGATTTGCAGACTTATTTCTCTATATATTCTTATATAATATGATTTCCAACTACTAAAATGTCAATAAAAGTAATTTTGTTAAACTGTAGAGCTGAATCAACATCAAAAGTCGACAGAGAAGAGATCAACATTCCATAATGCAATTGACAACCGTAAACAAACAGAAAACACTTGTGAATCACAAAATACAGAACCTGTTAATTAAGATATATTTTACAGTGTAAACTTATTTTATACTTCTAGTTCTGTTAGAGCAGTGTTTCTCAACCATGGAGGACCACCAACGCTGCATGTTTTGGATGTCTCCTTTGTCTGTGACACCCATTGCAGGTCTTTCAGTCTCTGCTAATGAGCTGATGATCTAAATCAGGTGTGTTTAGTCAAGGAGACTTTGAAAATGTGCAGTGCTGGTGGTCCTCCAGGAACATGGTTGAGAAACACTGTATTAAAGTTCTTTTTTTTTTTAACACTTTCAACTTAATTTACTGCAAATCTCCAATTTCTCTTTCACCATCAGCTTCATCCTAAATCGTGCTCCTCTGAGAGGTTTTTCGACGTTGATACTTCGGAGATCTTGAAGCTTCGCTCTTTGGAGGCCAAACGGGTTTCACTAGTTTCACATTTTCGTCCAAAGAGAAGGTCTTTTTGTGTGAGACTGTTTGTGGAGGCCACTTTACGGAGATTTTATTGGGGCTCTGATTTGCATCTTTTTCCAACATGTCTGATAATGAACACATGCTGCTTTGCGAAAGTGAATATCTCCAATCCGATCCCTCGTGCTCTTTATCCCCCGTATCCCGAACGCCCGGTAATTCACTCTGACCGAATCCATCCTCCAGATTCCCTTTAGACTTGAAGAGCTGTTTGTAATGTGGCTGGCAGTATAAATGTCCATGGAGAGAGACAAAGTTTCCGAGGCTGTCAGACAACAGAGTTGAGTCATAATTCATAAGACACTGAAAACATATCGTAAATATATCTTGTTTGTAAACAAGAACTGCACTGCAAGCTTTCCATGCAGGGTGGAGTTTGCAAGTAATGGCATTTTGTGCAATAAATGTGTTTGAATAGTCACACTGTTAGACATGCTTGAACTAAATTAGTTGTTTATTCTGCTTCTAAAACTTGACAATACAAGTACACTTTAAAGGGGACCTGCTTTGCAAAAATAACACAGTTATTTAAACACAGTTGTGTGGAAACAGTCTGTGAATATCACCAGCTTTCAACTTTTAATGATAAAAAAAGTATTACTTTTATATTTAATAATCACACTTGATAAAAATAGTCTGAAGAAACACTTATGCTGAGTTCAGACTGCATGATTTTCAAAGTAGTCGTGTCACAGGTGTTTTCACACTGCATGACTATCTGGGCTAGCGTTTCGTCGCTGCCTTGTTTACACTGCAAGATGGATCAGCGACAGGGACATTCACATTGCATGACTTTACTATAGGAAGAATCGCCAACAACTTCATCCAAACTATGTCTTACAGCCAAAAACATGTAGTATATGTTTTGTTATTAACTACATAATGAGAAAGAAGCCTTTAATGGGGTAGAACATGTTACATGTTTGCTCACCTGGGTTTAAAGGGAATTAGCCATTTCTCCTCAACGTTGCTAATAAACTAATTTCTTTCTGTATGAAACGTCAAACAGACACGGTTGCTCCTGAGTCCTGTCAAACCTCCACTAGTTTTCCCTCCATTTCGTGGGTCCAAATAAACCGAAAAAGAGCGCTTTTAACTTCTCCCCCAGCCTCCCGCTGGCCTGCAGCAGGTATACACACACGCACACACAAGTGAAAGCTGCTCTCTCATTGGCTGTGGGCGATCGCTGATGTTATTTTCAGTCAAAATTCAATTCACACGGCATGATTTGAATCGACGACAGCTCCAGATATTTAGCACACCAAATATCTCACAGGCATCGGCGACTCATCTGCGATTCTCTCAGATCACGTCTTTGAAAGTTTATACTGTGTGATTGTTACACACGTGCACGAGCAGCGATTTGCCTGTGATTTCAGGCATTAGTCGGCGATTTCTCAAAACCTGTCGGCGAGCCAAAATCGGGGCTAAAATCACGCAGTCTGAACTTGGCATTAGACTGACATTCTCTCTTTGTACGTATCATCACAGGAGGAAAGCTCCGCTCATTAGTGACCATCTCTCCCTTATTAGGATAAGACGTAAGTCTTGTTTTTGAATCGGACACTATGCTGACACACAGGCATTCGTAGCCCCGCCCTCTTTTTAAAAGAGCACATTTGAATTCAAAGCGACAGTGATTAAAACGGCATAATTAGGATCAAAGCCAAATAGGGTTAGTTTCAAAAATAGGGTATTTTGAGCTAAAACTTTACACTCAAGTGTTGTCAGAGACTTTTTTTTACATTTTGGTACATCTTGGCCACCTTTATTATCCCTAATCAAGCATGGAATGAACTTTCACAGGCGTGTGAAATACACTGAGTATACTTTAAGTTTTTTTTAACACAATTTAAAAATACAATTAACACACTAAAAGTTACTATTGAATTACTAATAAATAAAATACCAAGCACAAAATGACTTCTTGTGAAATAAGATTAGTTAGCAAAGTTAACTAATCGTCCACACATTTGAATTAGACCTATATTAGTCTGACTGTAAGATTACTTGGCATATCTGTCTAGAAAATAGACACATACACTACTGGTGTACAGCTTGAGACAACTCAATGGCACTGATGTATCTTAAGATCTGTCGTTTCCAATTTAGACAGCTCAAACATGCAGTTTAGTCTCAGACTAGCCTTAAGCCTAGAAAGGAATATGTAATATTATGCAAAAAAAAAAAAAAATTAAAATGAATAGGTCACTCAATTAAAATCCCAAAGAAGTAAAAAAGTAAAAGCAACTATAATCCAATATTTCCTTACTTTGAAGCATGTGTCAATGAACAATATTGATCTTATTCGTCAATGCAGAAGTGCGCTCGTTTTTGCGATTGTGTTGGAACTTCTGATTCAGCTCCCTATGGGAGAAATGACTAGGAATAATAAACGGTCAAACTACTTGCTCTTTAAACAAGTGTGTTTATGACTATACAGACACAGCAGAATTATATAATAAGAAAATATCAATTTGCAACATCAAGCAGTATAACAAGCTGTTTTTAACCTTTAAAAATGAATGGAACTGATTGAGACCGGAAGTCGTTAACCAAAAGGATTCAAATGGCTGCGCCCGCTCATATTAGCGATCAGTCGTTCATTAACGATTTGTTCATTTTTAACGAATCTTCAATACGACTCGGGAACTACGAGTCCTCTCAGGGAGTGATTCGTTCATCCGCGCGTGTGCACATTTGTGCAGGTGGTATCGTTCATTTCAAGTCTTTTGATTTGTTAATCGCGGAAAAGCAGAAGCCAATCATATGCGTTTAGAGCCAGAAAAAGAATTGATCCGTTCATCTTGAGTCCACTATCGGGTCTGAGTCACTCGTTCATCACGGGCCAATCATATGCATTTAGAGCCAAAAAAAGAATTGAACCGTTCATCTCTCGAGTCCTCGGGTTTGAGTCACTCTGTCACGTGATGAACGAACGAGTCAAGAACCAGACGACTCGAAAGATTAACTAAATATCATTGCTCCTATCGGCTCAGACTGTGTACATTGGTTAAGATTATATGTGACTGTCAATGTAACGTGAACGAACCACTGATATTTGAAGACATGAAGAGGTGAGCTGAGCAAAGAGATAAAAATACCTTCACAGACAAAAGAGCAGGTAAACATTGAATTATTATCTATTTTCTCCTTCTTATAGTATTCTATTTAGGACATATTTGTCATGTGATCAACCTTTTGGGCTAGTTGTAGATGTGTTTGGATGCAATTCGTAACATTTTAATAATATTTTGGCAAATTGAACCAAATGAACGACATGACTCGAAAAAAGATTCGTTCATCTCAATAAACGCGACTCAAAGATCCGAGTCAGTAAAATGATCTGAACTTCCCATCACTAGCTCATATGCGAAGAATAAGGTCAATAGACTAAATATGCAAAAACCTTTCTGTCAGAATAAGTCAAGTATACTAGTGTATAATAAGTGCATTATTAAGTATATTTAAGTACCTACAGTATATTTCAGAAAAGAACATAAAAACTAAATTTAAAGCAAGTAAATTCTCTAGGGTAAATCACAAATCATAAAAAAATATATAAATGATCAGTTTTAAAAATAACACTCACAATTTGTCATAATTTATAAAAAGCTGAAAAGAGGTTATAGTTTGCTTTTTGCACTTTCAACTTGATTTAGTGCAAAGGTGTTACCCTCAGTATCGGTATTTCAGAAGTTCAAACAGACAAGATATTTTGGTATGTTGTCATTAGAGTAACTAGATGTAAAGCCACCGCCCTCTTCTGGAAAGGGGGCGGGGAGAAGCAGATCATTTGCATTTAAAAAGACACACACAACTACTGTTTTTACTTCAGACCAAACAAATGGCCTTTATAACATGAATAATCAATGATTTTAAACATGTAGAAGGACATAATATAACCTGTTTAATGTAAAAAAATGTACCATCCTTAATTTAGTTAAAATTTCATTAAAGTTGTATTTTTATTATTATTCTATCTACAGCATAAACAATACTGAAATTGAACATAATATAAGAGTTGAAATACTAGAATACTTCTACAATAATACTCTCTGATGTTTGGATTGGTATAAGAACAAACTCTTTAGCATGAGCAACACTCTTTAATTACTAGTTAAAACAATATTTTGCATACCCCAATATGTTTTTTGTAGTACAAACAAGTAGCCTTTACATGGAATAATCAATCATTTTTAACATGTAAAAGGACATAATAGAACCTGTTTAATGTTAAACAGGTTTAATGTTAATGTTATATCCTTAATTTAGTTGGAATTTCATTAAATTAGTATTATTGTTATTTCATATACAACCTAAACATTACTGAAATTGAACATAATATGGGTTGAAAGACTAGAAAACTTCTATATTTTGACTCGCTGAAGTTTGGGATAGATTTAACAACAAAGAACAAGCATGAGCAACACTTACTCATAACTTGCAACAATATTTTACATACCTCAATTTGTTTTTGCAGTGCTCGCAGAAAAAGCATGATTTATGGAACTTCTTTTTGTCTGCTATCAGGCCTTCCATCGGGTAAACCCTCTTCTTGCACACCGCACACATCTCGGATTTTGGTACTCGAATCTAGTAAGGGAAAAAAAGTCCTCAGATTTGGGAACAACAAATATTTCTTAAGCAGGCCTTTGTCAAACATGCAGTATATCTACACCATGCAGGCCAATCACATCAACAACTTCCATGTAAGATCTGTCAATGACAAAAATGGGATTAGTAAAATGGCAAGATTAGACGCACAATAACACACATTAATACTTCTCAAACTCTGGAAAAAAAGTAACACTTGAGACCTTTAACACAGATATGTCAATGGTGAAAATATAGCTTCAGTTAAATAAATAACATTTAATTTATTACAATACAAAGATTTAAGTTATTGTTTGTTTATTTTTTTAAGTAACACACATTTGTGTATTTTTAGCCAAACATGTGCTGTTTAATGTGCAGACAATAAAATAAAATAGAATATTAAATAATTAAATAAAATGAAGTAGAATAAAAAACAATAAAATAAAAAAACAATAAATTAAAATATTCAATAAAAAATAAAAATAAAATAAGAAATAAAATAAATTATAAAATAAATTATTAAATAAATAAATAAAAATAAAAACAAAAAAATAACAAAATATAAAAATAATAGCACAATAAATAAGAAAATGAAATAAAATAAAATACAAAATAAAAAAAACTATAAAATAAAATAAAAAAATAAAGAAAAAACAAGAAATAAAATAGAATAACATAAAAAATCAAATAAAAACAATAAAATAAAACGTTAAATGATGAAATAAAATAAAATAACAAGAAAAAATAAAATAAAATAAGAAATAAAATAACAAATTACATTAAATTAAAATAACAAACAATAAAATAACATAACAATGTAAAAATAAAAATAGCACAATAAAAAATAAAATTTAAATAAAATACAAAATAAAATAAAAAACTATAAAATAAAATAAAACAAAATAAAGTAAAAATAGAATAAAATAAAAACAATAATTTACTTTTTTGTTTTTAATTATTTTTTTTCATCTCAGCCATTTTATTTGTTTTACCTAGATGAGTGTACTGAATTTCAAAAACAAATTGGGTTATAATGTGTGGTGGCATTTTAAGAAATGTAACGAACTCACAAAAACTGTGAATTATAAAACATGAAGCCACATTGCCTTTTCACAGGTCATACTGAGACACACAAATAAGGCTTTGTTCTGTATCAATCCCTAAAACATGCTGCTTTTTAAAGTACATTTGATTCCTGCAGCACTCTCAAATGCTAATGAGACAGAGATGAATGGCAATTATGGAGAAAGCACTCAGTGTTATTGAGATATTTGAAATTCTAAGCTGATAAATTGTCTGTTTTGATTTTTGCTGTAAGTGAAGGTGCTGTAAGCGAGACTAGACAAAGAGAACTTGTGATTGGCTAAAAAAGCCAAATACAGAAAGATTATTAAATGATACCTACTCAATTTAGACATGCAAGTTTGAACACTTACTAAGTGTGGTGTTTCAATAAAATAAAATAACCATAATAGAAATAAAATAAAATAAAATAAAATAAAATAAAATAAAATAAAATAAAATAAAATAAAATAAAATTAAATTAAAATAAATAAAATAAAATAATAAAAAATAATAATAAAATTAAATAAAATTAAAATAAATACAAATTTAATTAAATCAAAAACAATAAAATAATAAAAAATTAAATAAAAAAATAAAATAAATTAAATAAAACAATAATAAAATTAAAAACAAAAAATAATAATACAAAAATAATTTTAAAAATTCATAAAAAAAATAAAATAATAAGTGTCAAGTAATAATATTGCGTCTGGTAATTACAAAATAAAAATACACAAAAAACAAAAAGAAAATTCAACAAGTAAAATTAGAAGACTTTTAACATGCACATATATAAAGTGAGTCACTGTCACATTCACACATGCAATCTCTTATGTAAATGTAGCTTTTAGGTAAAGCTAAACACTAAACCAGCAATTCCGTGCTACTTTAAGGTGTTTTGCAGAGACTTGTTAAAATTCATTCCTGTCATGCACTGCAGGCATATTTACAGCAGTCTCGCTTTGATGCACTAGTGGGTGGCTCAACTCTCTCACCTGTGACACCTAAGCTTTTGAACACACTCTCACTTTCTGTCCACGTTTTGTGGAAGTTCTTCATCAGTTCCTCTGCGGAAGCTTCGGGTGATGCCGTCACCTCTGGTGTCTTTTTCTTCACGGCATCAGCATAGGAAAAAGGTGCCCGTTGTGTCGTAACGCTCTCAGTGTGTTTAGAAACCATGGTGGTGCTTGTTGATCCGATAATTTTAGTGCCGAACTCGTCAACAGAAGAATAACACTCAGTGACTGTTTTTGTCTCCGAAAAGCCTGTTGGATCGACAGACTTGTCTACTTTCACATCTTTGCGCACAGGCAGAGGGGAGCTCAGCTGGGAGCATTGTTCCCTCTCTGGAGGAAGCTCAGGCTTTGAACCTTCAGATGCAATTTCACTCACTCTTGACTCTTGTTCCTCCTGTTTGTTTTGTAGTGCTTTGAAGGGGGAACTTTGCTCAATCATTTCAAAAACATTTTTAATATCCTTGATGTTGAAAGCAGCCATATCCTCTTGCTGTCTTGCTTTCTTCTCCGTATCAAGCTCCAGGTCCTCGGTTTCCCTGCCAGGCTTCTCTGTTATGTCAGCTGGGTCTTTTCTAATACTAACTTTCTCCTCTGACGTCTCAATTGTTTTGGCTTGTCCAGACAGGTCAACCTCTGAGACTTTCTCCACCTCTTTTGCACTTTTAGACTTGACGTCTTCTTTACTTGTGCCTGAATGCTCAAGAATATTAAACACATCTCCACTTATGTTAGCATTAATAGACATTACTGCTGTTTGAAAGGACGCATGAGTCTCTGTGACTTGTTTATCTTCTATAGACACTACTGCTGTTTCAGATGATGTCATTTTGACTTTTTTCTCTTCGACAGATTTAGAATCGATTTGGATCTGCCGATGAAACGTGGCAGGTGACTCCACAATTTCGGACTTCTTTCCTGAAACCACAACGTGAGGCACTGGATCTGGTGAAGCCCCACGGGAGAGTGTAGCTGTGGCCTTTCTGAGCCGGGTCAAACTATCTGCTCGACTTGCAGTAGGTGAAGGTGAAGCCCTGCTTATGCGAGAGCTTGGCGTCTCAGACCTGCGTGGCGGAGGCGTTGGTGGTGTTGGGGAAGGTGCTGCTCTCTGTGGTGAGTCAGTTCTCCTTGTAGACTCAATGGTGATGAATGTGGGTGAAGGCGAGCGCATGCGCAAAGATGGGGATGGACCTCTGGGGTCAGGAGTTGTAGTGTTGCTCATTTGTTGCTTTCGGCTCTTACGTTTTGTCTTTGTCTCCTCTTTGACCACCTTCTGAGTTTCACACTTCGTAGAACCAATAGAAATCTTTGAAATTCTTTGTGTGGTTCCGCTAACAACCAATTTTTCTGATGTGGCCTCACATTCATGCTTTTCAATAGTGCCTTCAAAGAGCATTAAAAGGTTTTTTACATGAGTGAGAATTTCTTTCAACTTCTGCTCGTTGTGTTCAGCCGCTGCCTCTTCCAAATCACTCTTCTCTTCGGGCCCCAAAAGCCAGGCAGGCATCTCATTGAGGAGCGTCTTTACAGACTTAGAGTCCATTTTTCCCGCAACCCCCTGCAACTCTGAGATATGAGACAACATCTTCTGTGCTTCAGCTTGTCTTAGAGATGTGTCGGCACTCTCCGCCGAGGACTCAGCAGGCTCCTTTTGTGCAGATTTGCCTGTCATTTTTATTGGAACATTTCGGCTTTCATCTTTTGATTCCTCAGGAATCTGCTGGCTTCCACCAGCCTGCTTTTGAAGTTGCACAGCCATGCCCTCCTCCTGGATACTCTGCTGTTGGACTGTACTTTCAGTTTTGATGACCTCCTTGTAAAACTCTGCGTGTCCCGCTTGAACGGTGCGCTGTGTTTGCACAACGGTGATTTCCTCTTGTTTTTCATCTGATGTCAAGACTGGCCACTTAGGCTCAGCAGGTGTGGCCTCTGTAGGCGAAACCGATGCGGTGTTGTTGCTTTGAGCTGCCTCTCTGTCTTTCTTATTCTTGCTCCTCCTTTTCTTTTTTGGAGCGGCAGGAGGCTCGTCTACAGGCTTCTCTTTTGCCATTTTCTCCACTTTACCCTCTGTTTCTGTGGGGCTTCTTTCTCTGCTTTCTTTCACCTGAATGTTATCCTGCTCCGCTGTGGCTTTCTCACTGCTCTCCAGTTTAACACTCTTGTTAATTTTCTTCACCTTTTGACAGTCTGGCTTTTGTGGCCTCTGCTCAGCATCCTTAATTTGAGACTCTTTGTTTGCTTTGGATCGATCAGATAAGCTTTTTTCTTGATTTTTCTTTGGAGAACTTTCCTCTTTTGTTTTGTCCTCAGATAAAGATATGCTGCTCACATCTTTTTCGACAGTCTCAGATGCATTTGTAGGAGCACTTTGAGTTTTGTCTGTTATGACAGAGGCTGTTATTTCATCTTTGTCTATGCTTTTAATAACCGTTTTGGTCACCTGTTGTATATTGGTTGTCATAGATCTCTTCTTTTTCCTTTTGGTTGAAGTGGAGGTGGTCTGCTGCTGACCTGAAGAGCCCAGCGATGACTGATTAGAGATAATGCTCTGTTTAACTGAGGAAATAACAGGAGATTCTGGAGGAGATTGCTCATTTGTGGCAGTGATCAAAGCCTTGCTTGGGGGAGCATTTGAAAAAGCTGTGTGCTTGGATGAATCATATGAGTCTGTGGCTGATTCCGATTTGGTCACACTCTTTTGAGCTCTCTCTTGAGTGAAATCAAATGATATGCTTGCCTCTGATTGCACCGTGCTCGTGCTCTCTGAAGAAAGCATTTCAAGGGCTGCACTGACTGACTCGTGCATGAGGATTTCAAAGGCTGGGGAGCGTGATGGTGGTGGCGGCGGCGTGCAGCTTTCCTCCCTTTGCTGTCTGTACTTCTGTTCAGCTTGTATTAATGGGGTTTTGAATTTGCTTACCGGGGATTTGCACACTGGAGGAGGAGAAGGGGGAGGGGTGAGCATCAAGTTTGTGAAAACTTTCTTGGGAGGCCGCGGAGACTCCGGTGGCTGTTTTGTTAATGCAGACTGAATTTTAGAGGATACCATGGTGGACTTGGCTGATGATGTGGTGACATTTTTTCTACTTTCTTCTACAGAATGCACATTTATTTGCTCAAATGAAATCGCTGGCTCAAGCTTGGGTACTTTGCAAAGCATTGGCGCTTTGACGGGTTTGACAGTCATTTTTGTGGGTTTGGATGGTGTTAGGCTGGGCAGCGGAAGGATGTCTAGTTCTTGCTCTGTTGGAGGGGGAGGAAGGAGGTCTAACTCAGCTGTGGGTGGAGCAGGGGGGAGAGGTGATGGAGATGGTGGGGGAGGTAAATGATCGAGTTCTGTCTTGGCTGGATCACCAGGAGGAGGTGTTGGGGGAAGAGGAAGATCATGATCACCTCTGATGCTCGGAGGAGGAGTGGGAAATGAGATGCTGTCATAATCTGGAGGGGGTGATGGAGGAGGAGGCAGAGGGGGTTCCGGGTCAAGTAATGGAGGTGGCATACACATGTCCTGCTTTTTTCTTTTATCCAGTCTGATTAAACCCTTACAGCCACTTTTTTTGAGGTTACGGAAATCAGTCTTCAGCGTTTTGACACCATGTGTTTGAACAATTGTTTTGTGCTCCAGCACTGTGGTCTTTGTCTCCTGGCTGCATGTTGTGGTGTGGCCACTGATTGTAGAGCTCTCTTGACATCCATATCTGTTTTGCATTGATTGCTTGTGAGTGCTCTGTGATTCACTGCTCATATCAAGGTTTTTAACTGCAGGGGTGGGCCTCTGTGCTGGGATGTCTTTCACAGATGGAGACGGGGCTTTGGCAGGAACTTTGACCTTTCTAATCGGTTCCCTTCTGGGAATCGTTGGGCTCGATCTGCGTGCTGTTTCCATTAAGGATTTTATTGTACCCTTAACGTCTCCTTTAATCACCTCTTCTTTCTCTGATTGAACTTGCTCTTGGGTGTCATAGAGTGACTTTATTGAAAGCTTCACGTCGCCCTCTGTGCTAGCTCTACGTTGCATTCTGGGAGACGGAGGAGGCTCTAGTAGCAGTTGAATCTTTCCTTTCACATCTCCCTGGACACCAATGTCCTGCTGGCAAACCTTTCTCTCATTTGATGCTTCTTGTAGACTCTGTATTGCAGTGTGAATGTCACCCTTAACAATCATCTCCTTCTCCACCTCTCTCACAGCATGTTTGGCCTCTTCCAGCGATTTCAATGTACCTTTGATGTCACCTGGCACCAAATCTTCTACGACAACTTCCACCTTGGTGGAAGAAGAGTCTTTGAGTAATTGCAGGGCTCCTTTGATGTTACCAGGGATGATTTCGGGCTTTTCTACCTCTTTGGGCTGATTTTGGGCCTCCTCAAGAGACCTCAGGGTCATAGTTAAATCAGCTTTAACAACTTCTTCTTTTTCCAGAACAACCGCCTGGTTTATAGACTGTGTCAGTGAATTCAGCGCAGCTTGCAGGTCTCCTCTCACAATCTCTTCTTTTTGTAAATGTTCAAATGAGACTTGAGGCTCAGTCATGAAAACCTTAACTGTGTTATGAACATCGCCAGGCACTATATCTTCCCTGTCCACCAGACGACCAATTTGAGCTTGATTACGTGTCAGGATGAGTTTCGTTTCCTTAATATCTCCCCCGATGATTTCCTCTTTTTCAATTTTACCCAGGTCTCCCTCATCTGGCTCTACCTGCAGCTTTTTGAGGTAATCCAGTGCACCTGACTCAATACATGTAGAATAAAAGCTCACCTTTCCCCTTTCCGTTTCTTCCACTTTAATTCTCGCAACCTCCTCTGTGTCTGGATTGCAAAGTCTCTCTAGGCACCCTTTCACATTACCTCTGACTATATATTCTTTCTCGGTGCTTGATTCCTCGTGAGAATTGAATAAAGAGTAGATGGTCATACGAATGTCCCCCCTTTCGTCTTCCTGAATGAGAATGCCCCGTTTGCCAGTGCTCTCCTCTTTCAGCAGGTTGTTTATGGCTTCCTGAATGTCACCTCTCATTATCTCCTCTTTCTCCACAGAGGTGCCACTGTGCTCTTGGAGCAGCTGTTGCACAGTTCCGCTGATGTCGCCCCTCTCCTCTGCATTTATAATGATTTTCTCCTCTGTTTTCTCCTGTCTGTTGAGGAGGTTTATCATGATGTTTTGCAGATCTCCTTTAATGATTTCTTCTTTTTGAATCTCAGGGGCATCTTTGTTCATAAGATTGTACTTTGCCATGCGAACATCTCCAATTTCATCTGCTTCTATGATGATGCCTTTGGAGTCTACCATTTTCTGGGTGTACAATTCATCAAGGGTGGCCTTGACACTTTTACCAACAATCTCAGTCTTCTCGACTCGGCTCTCATTGAATTCAGTGAACGGTGTGGTTTCAAAAAGCCAAGTTGTGGATTTCACATCTGCTTTGGGTATGTCTTCAGAAACCACTTGTATATGTTGTTCCTCACTCTCATTAATATGATCAAGAGGATTCTTCTCAAATAGCCACACAGACTGTTTAACATCCCCCTTTAGCTGTTCTTCCAGAACAACAGTTTTCATCTCTTCCTCTGACTTTTCAGCATGGATCTGATCAATTGTGTGAGTTTCGAACATCCATTTTGCTGTCCTGACATCTCCTTTGTGGATTTCACTCATGCTGACAGTGCGCACCAACTTTTGAGACATTGCATCAGATTCAAAACGCTGCTTGTTTGTTTTAACATCTCCTCCCTGAATGTCCTCGACAGTTTTGATTGATATTTTAGCATCTTCTGCAATCTTATCAAGGGCCTGGGTTTCAAACCTCCATCTTGCTGAGCTGACATCACCACTGTGGATATCTTCCTGTGTAACCGCTTTTAAAATGTAGACCTCATCTGTCTCTCTAATTGAGTCCAGAGGCTTTGTTTCGAACAGCCAACGGGCTCCTACTACATCACCTCTTTGTATTTCTTCTTTTGTAAGCGTGGTCACTTCATGATAATGGCCTTCTTTGTCTTGGATAGCATAAAGAGGCTGAGTCTCAAACATCATGGCGTATGTTTTCACATCTCCTTTTTCCTCATCCTCTCTGATGACTTTCTGCAGCTTTCCTATTTCAGCCTCAGAGTCTTGAATCTTATCTAAAGAGTAGGTCTCAAAAATGAATCTACCTTTATCAACATTGCCTCCCTGAACGTCTTGTATCATCCGGGCTCCTTTCAGCTCACTGGGGTTCTCGGATATTTCATCTATGGGTTGGTTTTCAAATAGCCATTTGCAGTTTCCAACATTTCCTTTCTGAATATCGTCAGCTTGAGCGCTTCGCAGCTGTCTCATAAAGTCCTCAGAGGTTGAGCTCACCACGTCAGAAGACTGGGTCTCGAATATGTATTTCATCCGAGACACATCCCCTGACTGTATATCTATTTCAGTCACACTCTTAAATGCTTCTCGATCCTCTCCAGCGATGTTCTCCAGGTTCTCCGTCTCAAAGAGGAATCGTGCCATGCGGACATCTTTCCCATGAATGTCCTCTTGGTTCACAGTGCGAATTTGCAACACCTTTTCTGAGTTATCCTGTATGGCATCAAGGGTTTGAGATTCAAAAAGCCAAGTGCATGTTTTCACATCTCCTTTTTGAACTTCATCAGAGTCTTTTGTACTCTCAAGCTCTTCCCTTTCATACAGAGTGTCTATAGGTTTAGTCTCAAAAAGCCACTTACAGGTTTTGACATCACCTTTCACTATGTCTGCTGTTTCCTTAGTAACACACTCGTCATCTTCAATATTGCTGAAATACTTAATGGCATCGAGAGGCTGTGTTTCAAAAAGCCATTTAGCTGTCTTGACATCTCCAGATTCAACCTCTTGTTGGGTTATGCCCTTTATGATTTGGAATTTAGAGATGCTCTCATCGAATTGGTCAATAGGGCGAGTTTCAAACATCCACTGGCAGCTTCTGACATCTCCTTTGACGATTTCTTCCCGCCTTACAGTTCTGACCTCATGGTAATGTCCAGAGCTGTCTTGCAAAGCGTATAATGGCATGGACTCAAATAGATCTTTATTGGATCTCACAGAACCAGTGGTGACTCCCTCAACTTGAATCCTTTGACTTTCGTCATACTGGCTTAAATCATATGTTTCAAATATTTGCTTGTAATTTCTCACATCCACATTTTCAATGTCCTCCAGATTCACAGTTTTTGTGATTTCCTTTCTCTCCTCTCTGATCTGCTCCAGCGGCTGGCTCTCAAACAGCCACTTTTGGTGTCGTACATCTCCTTTCTCCTCAGATGTCATCATTCTTTTGAGTTTCCCCACCTCTGCAAGCTCTTTTATCTCATCTTTTGGAGCAGTCTCAAAAAAGTGTCTGGCAGATTGGACGTCACCTCCTATAATTTCCTCTGCACTCGCTGGTCTGGCATTGGAATCATCCTTTAATGTATCCATCGGTTGTGTCTCAAACACCCAACAATTTCTACGGACATCACCCTTGTAACTTTTATCAATTTGTTCAGAATCTATTGTTTTCATAAACACTTTCTTTTCCTCTTGAATGTCTTCCAAACGTTGGTTCTCAAACAGCCATCTCTGATGGCCTACATCACCTTTTTCTTCCTCTAATGCTACAGTTTTAAGTCTGTGTGCCTCATTGTCCTCATCTTTGATCATCCTCATCAGTGCTTCATTCTCAAACTTCCATTTCTGATGTCTCACATCACCTTGTTCTTCCTCGTACACAGGCCTTTTTTGTAGTTTTCCTACCTCTGGAAGCTCTTTCAGTTCATCCGGTGGAGCGTTTTCAAATAAGTGTCTTACAGAGCGAACGTTGCCTCCGATAATCTGTTCTGTGGCAACAGGTCTGGAGTTGGCATCATCTTTAAGTGTATCCATCGGCTGTGTCTCAAACACCATGCAATGCTTGCGCACATCCGCCCCGAGAATCTCTTTCTGCTGATTCTGCAGTCTCTCCCACTGGGAGTTTATGGAGTCAAGCCTCTTTGTCTCAAACAGCCATCTTCCCCTTTTTCCATCACCCATATGGTTGTCCTCCATGGACACACTAGAGATGAGCCTGACCTGAGAGATGTCCATCTTGATATCATTCAAAGACTGCGTCTCAAAAAGCCATCTCGATGTTTTGATGTCTCCTTTCTCAGTCTCCTCTCGACGCACAGAAGTTATCAAAACCATTTCGCCAGAGTGTTCCCTCATCACACACATGCATTGAGTATCAAACATCCATATAATTTTCTTGACTTCTGACTTGATCTCCTCCAGTACAGACTTTAAGCTCAGCAGCTGCTTTTCATCCATGGTTTCGGTGTCACCCAGAGAATCCATTTCTTGGTTTTCAAATATGTACCTCACAGACTTCATATCCCCTTCTGTGGCTTCATGTGTGAAGATTACTTCTTTGGTTTGCTCATCGTCAGTGTGAAGTTTATTTAGTGTATCCATTGGCTTTGTCTCAAACAACCATGCAGCAGCACGCACATCTCTTTTCCCAACTTCGTTCACAAGGTAGTTTCGTTTAGAATCCCGTTTCTGTCCCACCTCATCAATAGGCTGCATCTCAAACATCAAAGCTGTGTTTCTAACATCCCCTCCTGCGACAAACTCCTGCTGAACAATCTTTCTGCTTTCCTCTTCATTGTCCGAGTCATCCTTAATGCAATCCAAAGGTTTATTCTCAAACATCCAACGCATGGACTGCACTTCCCCTCTCAGAATCTCATCCCACTCCAGATATTCACGATCCGGGCTTCCATTTGAATTCCTTCCGGTGTGTTCAAACTGGTACGCTGCCTCTTGAACATCACCCACAGCTTCGATGTCCTCATCATTGTAGAAATCTTTTTCCAGGTCTTTCCTGACATCTGGGTGAATGTGTTTGCAAAGACGCTTCAGTTCCATTAGCTCCCTCTGTCTGAAGTGTTGCTCTCTGTTTACTGTGTGTTTCACTGGTTGTAATGGGGGTTCAGGGAAGATTTCAGCATCATCTGAAGGCTCCTCTAGTAAGTCGGGTGGAGGTGGTGGCAGATATTCCAGATCTTCTTCATCATCGATATATTGATCGTCAAAAGTAATCAATGGTTCGACAAGTTCTGCTTTATTTGTGGAAACACTATTCAGAGTGCTTGCTATCTCAGTCCTTACGGTTTGATGGGATGCGCTGACATCTGATTGCAGTTGTGCACGGCTTTTGTCACGTTCAATCTTTTATAGGGAAAAAAATAATTCATATAATTCAGTGTGACTTTGAAATGACTTATACGTTTGCTGGATCAGATGGTTTGGAAAAAGCTCTTCATTTGAATAAAAATGGAATATTCAAAAGTGTAGTAAATTGCTTCTAAAACCTTTCCAAGGTTTTTGTGCTCTTACTTTGCATTTAAAAAAAATGAAAGAAGAAAACATTTTTCTGCTGTTATTGTGGCTTTAAAATTTAATTTGTTTATTTATTTATTGCCACATCAGCAACTTGTGGCTATTTCATGGCAAAATGGATATACACTAAAAATATTACATGATAAAACAATTTCGTATTACAATAAAAAGTTACTTAGACAAATATATAAATAGAAATAAATATAGATAATATAGATTTTTAATCATTTATATTTGAAAAGGTTTTGCTTGTAATTTTTTTAACCCTTGTGCCAACTTTGTGTAAATGTAACTACTGGAAAATGCATCAGATTAATAGATATAAATTTATTTTATTTATTTTCTGCATAAATATATTAATCAAGCTCAGTTCTGATCAAAACTACTAAATGCTTTAAAAGATTTTAACTTTTTAATTCCCACATTCATAAATGATGTCACTAATTTGACGAAAAAAACTAAACAAAATTACTTATTTTCAATATAAAAAGTAGTATTCATTCATTCATTCATTCAATCATTCATTCATTCATTCATTTATTCTCTTTTCGGGTTAGTCGGATCGCCACATCAGAATGAACTGTCAACTTATCCAGCATATGCTTTACGCAGCGGATGCTCTTCCAACTGCAACCCATCACTGGAAAAAGGCAGTCTCCAGCAAAGTCTAAGCAATTTTGCAGTTTTGATCAGGACTAAGGGTGATTAACAGATTTATGCCAAAAACACACATTTTTACAGCAGTTTAATTCAGTGGATGTTTTCATCCTTAGCATAACAAAAGGGTACAGAGTGTCACTGATTTTTTTTAAAGCATTTTTCCTAAATATGTGGCAAAATTATATATGTAATCCAAAATACTTCCGCTAGCTGAAACTCAGAGAAAGTTATGGCCAAATTCAGACTCAAAATCACCTTAGAATGGATGAAAACATCCCTAAAAGCACATAAGGGTTAAGATAAGGGTTTTACAAATTACAACACAAAGTTTACTGACTGCTTAGCAGCATATACCGAATTTACTGAATGATTTCTCAAACAAATAAATGAATAATTTATTTCTTAAAATCCTTTTCATAAATGCATTAGACACACTTCCCTAAAGCAATCAATATCATTTAATTATACTAATATAAAAAGTCTTTCTCATGAGCTTTAGTGACAAGTAAAACATGAGAAAATCCTTACTTCAATAAGGATTACTTATCGATTGAAAAGCTCAAGCAAGAATGTTTTACAGACTATGCCTAAGACAGCTTTCACTTGTTTCCTTTTGTTTTATAGGTAATATTAGAAGATATTAAATATACTTAATATTACTCATATTAAAATATACTATTTATAAAAATAAGTCTACATATGTTATGTATGAAGGACAAAACCTGCAAAAACAATAAGTAAATAAATAAATAAATATGAAAATAAATAAATGAATTAATTGATAAAATCACAAATAACTGCATAAATAAATATCTAAATAATTAATCGTGCTAATAAATAAATAAAAATAATAAATAAATGTTGAGGGAATCAAAAAAGATATAAACTAAAAGTGGATTTTTTTTTCCTTTTTACTAACATTTATTCATTTTTGAATGCAGTTCCATGTTGGCTTTGTTTGGCATTTTCTTATCCCCCCAGCATTCGTGTAATTTATTTAATTATTTATCTGCTCGCACTAAAGGCTTCACCTATGCTTCTGCGTGAAGTGCAAGCAAAACCGACTACCAGCTAGCTTTTCATTTTTTTAGTATTATTGCAGAGCAACTCAAACAGCACGCAGACCTGTAAATGCACGACCATTCAGACCAGTCAGGCCGATCACTCGATTCATATTTATATATTTAAAGTGTATCCGGAAAGTATTGATAGCACTTCACTTTGTAGTAATGTTACAGCCTTATTCCAAAATTGATTCAATTCAATTATTTGCTCAAAATTCTACACACAATCCCCCATAATGACAATGTGGAAAAAGATAGATTGAAATTGTTGCAAATTTTTTTAAAATAAAAAAAAACCTGAAAAATCAATAGAATAGGATCAATAAGATTCAGGTCTGGGTTCTGGCTGGGCCACTTAAGGACATTCACAGAGTTGTTGTGAAGCCAATCCATCTTTATTTTGGCGGTGTGCTTTGGGTCATTGTCCTGGAAGATGAACTGTCGCCCCAGTCTGAGGTCAAGAGCACTCTGAAGCAGGTTTTCATTCAGGATGTTTCTGTACATTACTGCATTCATCTTTCCCTCTATCCTGACTAGTCTTCCAGTTCCTGCTGCTAAAAAAACATCCCCACAGCATGATGCTGCCACCACCATGCTTCACTGTAGGGATGGTATTAGCCGGGTGATGAGCGGTGCCTGGTTTTCTCCAAAAGTAACACCTGGCATTTACTCCAGAGAGTTAAATTTTAGTCTCATCAGATCAGAAAATTTAGTTTCTTATGGTCTAAGAGTCCTTCAGATGCCTTTTGGCAAATTCCAGTTGGTAAGAGGCTTCTGTCTTGCCACTCTACTATACAGGCCTGATTGGTGGATTGCTGCACAGATGGTTGTCCTTCTGTAAGGTTCTCCTCCCTCCACAGAAGAACGCTGGAGCTCTGATAGAGTAACCATCGGGTTATTGATAACCCCCCTGACTAAGGCCCTTCTCCCTCGATTATTCAGCTTAGATGGTCGGCCAGCTCTAGGAAGAGACCTGGTGGTTCTCCTGCCTTGAGCTTCTAGACAATCTTGTCTCGGAGATCATCAGAAAATTCCTTTGTCTTCATGCTTGGTTTGTGCTTTGACATGCACTGTCAACCCTGGGCCCTTATACAGACAGGTGTAGGCCTTTTCAATTCATATCCAATCAAATGAATTTACCACAGACGAAGTACCATTTAGCTGCTGAAACATCTCAAGAATGATCAGTGGAAACAGAATGTACCTGAGCTCAATTTAGAGCTTCACGGCAAAGGCTGTCAGTACTGATGTACATGTGATTTTCCAGATTTCTTTTTATAAATTTGCACCAATTTCAAAAACTCTTTTTTCACATTGTCATTATGTAGGATTGTGTGTGGAATTTTGAGGAAATAAATTAATTTAATCCATTTTGAAATAAGGCTGTAACATAAACAAATGTAGAAAAGTGAAGCGCTATCAATACTTTCCAGATGCACAGTATTTTTGCAGGAATTTGTGGATTTTCACATATATTTATTTACTTAATTGTGCTTTTATTATTTTTTTTTATTTATGCAGGAACACATAGATTTAATAAGTAATTAATTATTTATTTGCCTATTTATTTTATTTTTGTTTTTGCAGGTTTTGTGCTTGATGTTTATACACCGTTTACTCAAATAAACTGATCTCTTGAGGAAATCATTTAAAAGTTAAAAGACTTTCAGTCTGAACCACTGTTGTTAGCTTTTTCTGGTTAACAATAAAGTTACAAAAATTATGAATATTATGAAATGAAATATTATTTACAACAACAACGTCAACACTAAGATCAGCAAGTCTTACGAAGCACAAGTAAAATATGTTGCTAAAAATGGAAATGGACTCACGGAAATGTAAAACACTAAGCAGAAGACAGTAAGTGGAATCTTTTTATGCACCGAATCCTATTAAAGCATAATATATTCATGTGTCAGAGCACGGATGTAGGCTAAAAAGGACTTACCTTGATTTTCTTGCTAGGGGCTGCTTCTTCAATAGTCTTCTCGAAATGCTGTGCCAGTTCTTTAGTGGAGAGCTTTGGATAATACTCATCCTCCTCTGCAAGCAAAGGCAAATGTTCATATTTAACTTGGAGGTCTCAGTACTATGCAGTGTAAAGCAAAAAAATCATGTACTGTTTAAATTATAGCTTGTGAACTTACCTGTTTGATTGTTATGATTCTCATAACTGGACATAATTTCCCGTTTATGAGCGATTTGATCACGTGTAGACTGTAGGAAGGAAAAATAAACACACTTTTAGAGCGAAAACGATTCATGTTGACATGTTTTTACATTCATGCATTTGTTTATTATTATGTGCATTCCTTGGGAAGCAAAACTCTGACCCTGTTTTTAGTCAGAACTTGAAAACGTGGACATTAAAACATACAATAAAACATTATATTGCCTCATAATAGTCAGGGCTCTATTTTAACAATCTAAGTGCAAAGTCTAAAGCTCATGGCGCAAAAGCATTAAGTGCATGTCCGAATCCATTTTTGCTTTTTTAGAGATGAAAAAAAATAAGCTCTGCGCCACAGCGCATGGTCTAACAGGGTTGTGCTTAATCTCTAAATGAGTTATGGGTGTGCTTTGAGCATCACATGCATTAAACCATCTTAAGGCTCATCTCACATTCCCTTTAAAAGTCAGTTGTGTCACACCAAGGTGCATTTGCTATTTACATGGCGGACTTTGTAATTGGAAAAATGTAATGCTTCACTAGTGAGAAAACAGTGATGCAGAGCATCTGCAGCGCAGGAATAAAGAATGAGTGTCCTCCTTTCAGCCTCTTTACTTTCTCTTTACTTCACTTTTACTCTTTACTCCTTTACTTTTGTGAATAAGGAATGCTGTTGTTCACACTTCACTGAAGACATCCATTAGCCTACATATTTAATTTTATTTGTTAAGCACAAAGATTTGTTTCAAAGTTATTTCAAAATCCCAGCTAACGAATAAATGAACAATAATAATAAAGTGTGGTCAGAGTTATATTTGAACACACGTCTTGGTCTTATGCCCCAAATGGTGATGCAGACATCTCAAAAACCTGATAGGTGGACAACTCTAAGCTTGTTTTTAATAAAACAAATATAAATATGCATTTAATAAATTTTACTGCTAATAACAATAACATCATACAAATAAAAAAAAAAACATAGGTGAAGAAAACATGGAGGCAGTGGTTTTTGTAACATCTTAATCCTTAATTTTGTTCATTTATAAAGATATTTGTGTATTGCTGTACATCCTGTATTAAGCAATGTCTAAGCCAGAGGTTCTCAAAGTGGGGGTCGCGGGACAATGAAGGGGGGGGTCGCCTGTTGATTTTCAAAAATCAATAAATTTTTATTAAACCTTAAGACTTACTGTACTTTATCAATAACCTACTGAAGAGAAAAAATAGTCGTTTATAGGTACTATAAACTATATAGTTACTATAGTAGCTTATAGTTACTAGTTCTATTGGATTGCGACTTCTTGGGTAATTACATTATACTAAAGACACAGCAATACTGTCAGATGCAGCAGATTTTGTAACACCAGGTTAAAATTTCTAGCCCATTTACAGCACTGACATACATAAAAAAACAAAGAATAGACTTGGGTCTATTGGTGTGTTTGTGCACGTCATTGCATACAAGGTTTCTGTATTTATAACCACCACCTCAGAGAATATTGGGGGTCACGAGTCACTGGCATTGTCATTTTGGGGGTCGCGGGCTGAAAAGTTTGGGAACCCCTGGTCTAAGCATTTGGACCTGCATAGGCGCATAACTAACATGTTCTGCGCTGGACTTTAGACCAGCTTTTAGTTAGTTTTAGTTAAAATAGCAACGCTCCAGCAAAGCGCCTTAACACACCTCCTTTATAGACCAGCACACCCATGAGTCCACAAAGTGGCACAAAAGAATTTGCTATCGAAACAATGTGGTGCAAAACGTAAAAATTAGGGTTGTGCTGGTCTGAAAAAAACAACAAATCATGCCAAATACGTCTTGCGCTTTATGGTGCCGGATGTATGATAGGGCCCTCAGTGTTATTTTAGTATCAAAAAATACTAATAACTTATTTTTAATTAACAGATTTAAACAGAATTATTTACATGTATTCTTTCTTATTTTAAAGTTTTAGTAATTTTAATATGTGCTTTAATTGTGCTAAACTGGTAATGTCTACTACTCCATAAATACAATTTAGTACCATCCACTAAAAATACAAAATAACAAAAATGAACAGTGTATTGTACATTCATTTAATTAAAATAGTTATTTATATACAGTTGAAGTCAAGTTTTTTTTTAAATATTTGCCAAATGATGTTTAACAGAGGAAGGAAATTTTCACATTACGTCTGATGATATTTTTTCCTCTGAAAAAAGTTGTATTTGTTTGATTTTAGATAGAATAAAAGCAGTGTTTATTTTTTTAAAAAGCCTTTTTAAGGTCAATATAATTAGCCCCTTTAAGCAATTTTTTTTCTCTATAGTCTACAAAACAAACCATCGTTATACAATAACTTGCCTGATTACCCTAACCTGCCTAGTCCACCTAATTAACCTAGTTAAGCCTTTAAATGTCATGTTAAGCTGTGTAGAAGTGTCTTGAAAAATGTCTAGTCAAATATTATTTACTGTCGTCATGACAAAGATAAAATAATTCAGTTGCTAGAAATGAGTTATTAAAACTATTATGTTTAGTAATGTGTTGACAATATCTTTTCTCCATTAAACAGAAATTAAGGAAAAAATAAAAGGGGCGCGAATAATTAAAATTTTTAAAACCTTTTTTTTTTTTGGTAACACTTCAGAATAACAGCCCATTAGTTACTGTTAATTAATATATTTACTAACAATAAATATCAATGATCTTATATAGCATTTATTAATAATAGTTAAACATTAACTGCATTATTGAAATACAAAGGTGAACTTCTTAACACTAGTTAATGCACAATAAACTAACATTATTTAACTTAAATAACATTAACTAACGTTAACAAAGATGAACAAACACTGTGATAAATGTATCACTAGTAGTTTGTTTATGTTAGTGAATACATTAACTAATGGTTCATTATTTTAAAGCATAACCTTTATTTATATTATTATTTTATTTATGTATTAATTTATGTATTACAACAAATAATTTGGCATTTTCAAAGTGACTTTTGACTCAAAAGGATCTGAGGCAAGAACATTCAGTCTTATCAAGCGCCATGTTTCATTATTTTAGTGTTTTATCAATATTCTACTCCACTGACACTGATCTGCTGGCTCAATTTGATGATCAATATCCCATGAATTATTCTACTGGACTACAATGTCATGACTCTTTTGTGTCTATTGTCATGGGGTCTCGTCAAAACCTTTCCTTGTCCTCCTATTTAATCACTTTCAGCATCCTTAACTTCAAGATCATTGTAAGGTAGGACAAAGTCATGGGTTCTATTCACAGGAACCTCAAAAGTGTTTGCTGGAGACAGAAATCCTTTCAAATGATTCAGTCGATTTGGTGAACTAGTTCAACTGGTTCACCTGGAAGATCCGGTTAAAAAGTCCAATTTGTTAATATGTTTGTTAATAATGTGAATGTTAAATAATACTTTTAAGTGTCTGTTTGGGTCGTATGTAATGCTGTCACCGTGCTGCTGTCATGGTCATTCATTGTTTTTGTCGCAGGAGCAACAGAGAGGACTGACAGGAGAAGGATCGGCTCGATCTGGCCAATGGCAACAGGATTACAGACTCTGAGGTGCTGTACGGGTCAAACACCAGGCAGTGGGAAGTAAACAGATTTACTTCTAAAAGGCTTACAGTAGGCTTTTCTATTAAATACATTTGCAAAGACAAAAATGCTATAATTTTAGTTAGTTTCAGTTAGTTTTGTATATACACAATACAGTTTCAGTTAGTTTTAGTTAAAAATTTGTAAAAAATGTTTTTGTTAACTATAATAACCTTGATACTAACTCAGTTTACTCTTCATGAGACGTAACTAATGGCCTATTTCCACTGACTGGTACTGTACGGTACGGTATGGGTCGGTTCGGGTCACCTTTATCAGGCTTGTGGTTCTACTGCCAAAAGGTACCTTTTTGGCGGGTGTGGTGTCTGACAGAAATTTTCAGTCGACATCATTCTTACCCTAGGAAATGTCAAAGTAAAGCTGTATGGGTAGTTCACATGTCATATAAGAAGCACTTCTCACAAAACAGATGCTTTATACCAGGGGTGGCCAACCGTGCTCCTGGAGAGCCACCTTCCTGCAGATTTCATTTGCAACCCATATCAAACACACCTGCCTGTAATTATCATGTGGTGTTCAGGTCCTAATTAATTGGTTAAGGTGTGTTTGATATGGGTAACAACTGAAATCTGCAGGAAGGTGGCTCTCCAGGAACAGGGTTGGCCACCCCTGCTTTATACACATACATACTTGTGTATAAATGTTCACTACCAACCCTTCTATGAGCAAGATTTGATTATAACTGCAGATCAATAATAGGGCGAAATAGCCAACTATAACATCTGCAATAATATAAAATAAATAAATGCAACATATATGAACACATACAGACCCTATACAGTCTCTGATATGTTACCAATCACAGAAAAACTACACACAGCATACATTTAGTCCTTATTTGGGTTCAAAAACATCACGCAACATCGCCCACAGTCAGTGCAAACCTCTCATCTGTGTCTTTAATCTTCACTAGGACATTCTCATAACATAATTCTGAGTTCATAATAGTCCAAAAGGCAATTATAACAGTTAAACATGACTGTTTGTTGATGGTTTAGGTTGCTGAAAGAATAATTATTTTCAGGCTACTCCTTTGTTTTATTTTCACACTTCACTGTCGCGTTTGTCGGTTTCTGAAAGGATCGGATGTCAGAAGCACTTCAATAATCACGCGCACGTAATTATCATCGGCTCAAGAAGTTTGCTATTGCAAATATAGATGTGCGGCGAGCTCACACGTGTAAGCAAAAACCACTTTAGACGGCCTTGTAAACAACTACGGTGCACAATGTAAACTCTGCTCTTCTTCTTGGCTTTATGGCTTCATCAAGATGATGACAAGGTTCGTTTGAGCTCAGGTCAATCATGAGTCATTATTATATGTATATATTATTACGGTGTAATGTCTTAGCTGTGTTTTTAAAAATGGTGCTTCCTTTGTTTTCATTCTCCTGCTTGTATACGCGCTGGTGACGTATCTTTATAAACCAATAGCATTCAGTTGCGGGTCTAGCTCCGCCTTTTGGTACCCTTTTGTCGTGCTAGGTACCCTTTGCAAAGGGTACCCAAAAAGTAGTACAGTTCGGTTCGCTTTTAGGTACCTTTTGACAATGGAAACAGCAATTGTCAAATGCCTAAATGATGGTCTCTTTGTTGAATTTAAGTTACATTGCAACTAATTCTACTTAGAATATAAGTAGACTGTTGGGAATAGGGTCAGTTAAATGTCTGTTGAAGGAGCAGTATCAACAGATATTAAGCAGACAGTCTTCTAATACTCAAATGGACCATCACAATAAAGTGTTACCCCGAATTGTACCATACCACTCAGTGACTAAATACTTTTTAAAGTAACGTCCCCAAAACTGGTAACCATCCTTCCCCAGCATTTGTTTTTCCTACTATAGAAGTCAATGGTTACTGGTTCCAACATTCTTCAAAATATCTTCTTTTGTGTCCATCAGAATAAAGAAGCTCATAAATAAGTGAAACTGCTCGCGCTTTAGATGGCCTTGCAAACACAGGTGTACAGGCTAAACTCTGCTCTTCTTCTTGGCTTTGTGGCTGTTCATCAAGGTGATGACAAGGTTTGTTTGAGCTCGGGACCACCATGGTTTGTTATTATATGTACAGTATATATTATTACGGTAAAATGTCTCGGCTGTGTTTTTAAAAATGGCGTCTCCTTTGTTTTCATTCTCCTGCTTGTGTATGCATGAGTGACGTTTCTCTGTAAACCAATAGTGTTCAGTTGCGCGTCTAGCTCCACCTTTTGGTACCCTTTTGTCGTGCTAGGTACCCTTTGCAAAGGTTACCCAAAAAGTGTTACAGAACGATTCGCTTTTAGGTACCTTTTGACAGTGGAAACGGCAATTGTCAAATGCCTACTGAATTGGTTCACACTTTATTTTGATTGTCCCTTTGTTGAATTTAAGTTACATTGCAACTAATTCTCCTTAGAATATAAGTAGACTGTTAGGCTGGGGTTAGGTTTAGTGTAAGTTCACATGTACTTGCAAAGTTTCTTATAGTCAGTTAAATGTCTGTTGAAGGAGCAGTATCAACAAATATTAAGCAGACAGTCTACTAATACTCAAATGGACCATTACAATAAAGTGTTAACTCGAATTTTACCATTCTGTACCGTACCACTCAGTGGAAAGGGGCCATAACTGAATACTTTTTAAAGTAACATCCCCAAAACTGGTAATTATTTTTCCATAGCATTTGTTTTTCCTACTACGGAAGTCAATGGTTTCTGGTTTCTAACAATCTTCAAAATATCTTCTTTTGTGTTCAACAGAATAAAGAAGCTCATAAATAAGCGAAAGTGCTCGCGCTTTAGATGGCCTTGTAAACAACTACGGTGCACAGGCTAAACTCCGCTTTTCTCCTTGGCTTTGTGGCTGTTCATCAAGGTGACGACAAGGTTTGTTTGAGCTCGGGTCGACCATGGTTTGTTATTATATGTACAGTATATATTATTACGGTAAAATGTCTCGGCTGTGTTTTTAAAAATGGCCACTCCTTTGTTTTCATTCTCCTGCATGAGTGACGTTTCTCTGTAAACCAATAGTGTTCAGTTGCGGGTCTAGCTCCGCCTTTTGGTACCCTTTTGTTGTGCTAGGTACCCTTTGCAAAGGTTACCCAAAAAGTGGTACGGTATGGTTCGCTTTAGGTACCTTTTGACAGTGGAAACGGCCATAAAATCCTACAGAATTGGGTCACACTTTATTTTGATGGTCCATTTGTTAAATTTAAGTTACATTGCAACTAATTCTCATTAGAATAAGTAGACTGTTAGGTTAGGGTTTGTGTAAGTTGGCATGTACTCATGTACTTGCAAAGTTTCTTATAGTCAGTTAAATGTCTGTTGAAGGAGCAGTATCAACAGATATTAAGCAGACAGTCTACTAATACTCAAATGGACCATCAAAATAAAGAGTTACCCCGATTTGTACCATACTGTACTGTACCACTCACTGGAAATGGGTCATAACTGATTACTTTTTTAAAGTAATGTCCCCCAAACTGGTAACCATTCTTCCATAGCATTTGTTTTTACTACTATGGAAGTCAATGGTTACTGGTTTCCAACATTCTTCAAAATATCTTCTTTTACGTTCATCAGAAAAAAAGAAGCTCATAAAGGTTCATAACCACTTGAGGGTGAGTAAATAGTAAGTAAATTTTTTGGGGTGAACTATACCTTTAAATGCAATGCAAGTCACTCTGCATAAACGCATCTGCCAAAATGCATAAACACAAAAAAGTGACTCTTTTCATGTTTTCAAACCTCCAGCCTCGAAATGACATTTTGCGCATGATTTAAAATTGATGGGTTGAAGTGACAGAGTAAACAGAAAAGAAGGCATTTGAGCTGTGCTTATGGAGACCCGGAGCTGTAATCTAAGTGCTGTGTGATTGTCGTTGAGAGCCGCTACTGTTAGCGTGGACTTGTGAAATGGAGAGTTATTAGCAGCAGGCCTGTCGGAGACGTCCGTACCCTTTCATCCTGGAGGAAGACCTGCTGTGAGGCTTGACGACTCGCTGCGCTGCTCGACACACTCAAAACTGATGAATCTGACACCTCCTGTGTGACACAAGACCAGAGCTGTTAGAAGAGGAGACATGGGAAACAAGCAAACGCACACACACACTTTTCAAAAAAGGGCTCACACAGGCTGCTTATATTGTCACTATATTTGTTTGAGCTAAACAGAAATAAACAAAGCGATGATACCACAGTATATTTCGACAGTAAACTTAGATTTTGTTTTAGGCCATGTTTACACTTACATGTTTAAGTTTAAAAACAACATTTTAAAAGGAAAACAATCCACGTCCACACTACACCACTGAAAACGCACATTAGGTGACCACACACACACACACACACACACACTCTGGTATGCGCTGCAGTGTATGTGGATGTCTGAGCTCAAGGCAGTCAGCGGGTGCTTTGAGCACACCTTCCCAGGTGAGAGCAGCGCACTCCACTGGATCTAATCTCACTGTAGTTGTTAAACGAGATATTTAATTCATCTTGTTTCTGTCTAAAAACTCTTTGGTCTTTTGAGTCTTTTACTTGTTCTTAGGTAACGTGTTTTGTCTGAGGGCAAAGATAAGTTCATTTATTATTATTATGTACCCACGTACAATGATTCTGCACATGTGGCTGATCGCTTGCCTTTATTTTCTATAATATATAAACTTAGGCCGTACTCACACTAGGTACAGTTGCCTCGAACCGGGCCAAAGCACGCTTGTCCCCCCTCCCGTCTCCCCCGATGGCCCGCGCTCACACCACAAGCGGGCTTCGGCACGCTTACGTCATCACTGCTGCGCTGTTCAGTGAGTAGCGCTCTCAATCAACAGCACAGTGGAGATTTCTCTAGTTATATCGTTTCAGTCGTTTGATATGCCGTCAAATATTTTGCCAAACAGTCCTTAGGGATGCGGTGACGCAGTCAGATATTTCGCCGAACAGATCCGCCACTTTTGGCGCTCATAAACAATCATAAAGCTCTCGTGCTGCAGGAATGAACAGGTCTGCTGAAGGTGAGCAGCTGTCGTGCAGTGAGGGGTTTGCGTCTTTAATAAACTACGGCACTTTGCGTTCACTGAACAGAATTATTAATAAATCCATATGAAACAGTGCCTTAAAAGTCACACCTTGCTTTCAGTTTCGGGCTTTGGCGCGTTTTGCACTCACACACAAGCGTACCGGGCCAAAGTCCAAGTGAACCGTGCTTGAGCCCGATTCAGCACACTCACACTTCTCAAACGATCCGGGAAACGGGCCTGGGCACGGTACAGATGACATAGTGTGAGTAGGCCCTTATTGTACGTTATATTTTTATAATGACCATTATTGATTATTAAACTGATATAAGAGAGGGTATGTTTCATATTTTTCAATGAAAATTAAAGGAGGCAGTGATGTTATTGGCTCCATTTTGTTATAAATATGCATATGGTGAAGATGACGATCAAATAAATATGGCCTCAACATTTTTAGTATCTGTTAAGTTAATATTATAATGAAAATAGGCAGTTCCCAACTTTTCATTTTGTTGTTAAGATAGTGAAACAATGTAGCCAGGGTATGTGAATGACACTGAAAAGTAGCCTACACTGTTCCCTTTTAAGATCCCGCTGTGTCCTAGGGAGTTTGTTTTCCATATTTTAAAACAAAAACAGCCTCTTCAGCATTTCCAAAATGCTCTGTTTTCAGTTTACACTGAAGCATATTAGTGTATACAGGGCCATAGTCTTATTGTTTTGATTAAATTGCCATTTATTTTGAGTCATATTTCAATCTTCTGAATCATTGTAGTTTTAGTCAATTATATACATATACAGTTAAAGTCAGAATTATCAGCCCCCCTTTATATATTTTTTCTTTTTCAAATATTTGCCAAATAATGTTTAACAGAGCAAGGAAATTTTCACAGTATGTCTGATAATATTTTTTTCTCGGGAGAAAGTCTTATTTGTTTTATTTAGAATAAAAGTAGTTTTTAATTTTTTATGAACCATTTTAAGATCAAAATTATTAGCCCTTTAAAGCTATATTTTTTTCGATAGTCTACAAAACAAACCATCGTTATACAATAACTTGCCTAATTACCCTAACCTGCCTAGTTAACCTAATTAACCTAGTTAAGCCTTTAAATGTCACTTTAAGCTGCATAGAAGTGTCTTGAAAAATAGCTAGTCAAATATTATTTACTGTCATCATGACAAATATAAAATAAATCAGTTATTAGAAATTAGTTATTAAAACTATTATGTTTAGAAATGTGTTGAAAAAATCTCTCCGTTAAACAGAAATTGGGTAAAAATAAACAGGGGGCTAATAATTTTGACTTCAACTGTAAAATAAACAGCAAAAATTGTTTTCAACCAACTAAAACAGAGCATCAACAATAATTCATCAGAAATATTTTGTAAACAAAATGCTGCAGGATCTTTACTCAAATCTCTGTGAATACACAAACAGCAAATAACATTTACTGGTGATCTGTAATGCATCGTGGATTAAACCAAAAAAATCATTTATGCACATTTGCATGAAATCTGCATCACATAAGCACAAATTAAAGCTCAGAATTAACACACATTCCTGATTTTCCATTTCAGGATTAAGATTGGGGCTGTCAATTACTGTTAAGCAGCAGGTTTAATGCTTTTAGTCCTCAGATGAGCAGATTTTGTAGTGTTAGAATACGTGCCAACACACACACAGTCCCACACACACACACAGAACCAACACAGGCTCAATCTGAAAACGTAGTTCCATGGACGTTTCTGGAGACCGGAGGTACAAAAAATTTTTAAGCAAACGCTATGGGGTGGTGTAACGGCGTTCCTTTTCGCGCTAACCAGCTGACCGCTTACCTCTGTGTGGAGGGCTTTCCCGCTGCAACCAGTTTGTCTAGTTAACTCGTTGTGTACTTGACGACGACCGGGTTTGAGTCCAGGGAAGAGCGGTTCTAGAAATCAGTTAAGACAAAAACAGAATCCAAAAAATAAAACGAACGAGTGAATAACATGGTGAGAATGTGGTAAAACCTGAAAACGTGGTAAAAATTAGACGACGGCTTTTCTTTTTCCAAACGGCTTTTGTAAATCGTTGGTTGGGTTTAGGGAAGTAAGTGGGCGGGTCAATCGGTAAAATTCGTTGGGTTTAGGGAAGGAGGAGGGTGGGTCTGTCGATTGGCTGGTCACCCAGTCAATTATTCAGTCAGTCAGACAGACGGTCAATCAACAGCAGCGTCTGGTGGGTTTACATGAGAACGGCATGGGCGTAAACGGCATTCGCGAGAGACTATAAAGCGCACACATCAGCCTGTCGCGGATTCGCCAAAACAAAAACTGCAAAAATACTTACCTCCTGGGAAACGTCCACGGGACTACGTTTTCAGAATGAGCCAGACATTAGACTATTTGAAAATAATTCACATGTGATTTGAACCAAAACAATCAGCTGGAAACAAACGGAATGAAGTAAACTGCTCATAAAGTAATGCTCACAAAATGTATTATGACTAGGGTAATTAGGGAAACTAAGACAGTTAGGGTAATTAGAAAAGTCATCGTGTAACGATGGTTTGCTCTATAGACAATTAAAGAAAAACAATATTGCTGGGGCTAATAATATTGAGCCTTAAAATGTTTTTATTTTAAACCTTTTATTCTAGCCAAAATAAAACAAGTAAGACTCCAGAGGAAAAAATATTGTAGGAAATACAGAGAAAAAGTCCTTGCTCTGTTAAACATTGATTGGTAAATATTAAAAAAAAAAAAAGAAATACAAATTCATAGAAGGGCTAATCATGTGTGTGTGCAAATAAATAAATTTTAATTAATATCATGAAATACAGTGGTTCTCAAACATTTTTCATCAAGTACCACCTTAGAAAAAAATTGTCTCTTTAAATACCACCATAATAAGCAGTATTGAAATACAGTAGCGTAGTAGGCCCAGTAAAGCAGCTACAGCTCTGCACAGTTCTAAACTGGAAGATTAATTTCTATTATTACGAATATTTATTATTGTCAGCCATTTTAAACATTATAAATAGTCTGAACGTTAACACTGTACTGTGCTTATATGTAAAAAAAAATAAAAAATTAAAAACGTCAACATTTAAATTAACAGGTGCTTTTAAAAGTTAAAAATAGTAGGTTAATGTTCTTAAAAAGTAAAAAAAAGTGCTGTACTTGAATGTAAAGTATTAACATAGAGTAGCCAATTCATTAACACCTGGAAATGTTGCCTGGACCTCAGCAATATAGGTTATATGTCATAAAATAAATATTAACGTATGTCATATTCATATATAAATCTTTTTTGATACATTTTGAAGTATATGTAGCATGTACATATGACACATTCGATATCTCTGCGTTCCACTAGAAGGAAGCCTGTGTACCAGTAGTGGTACACTTACCACAGTTTGAGAACCACTGATTTAATAAAATTAATATGAAAACCCAAATGCCAAATGAGTAAAACCAAAGAATAGAGATTTGAAAAAGGTTTAAAAGTGGATGTAAGTATCTGAACCAACAGAACAATAATGAAGATATCTGTTATGAATTGTTATGTAATTAAAAAGTAACACTTTAGGTCACAATTCACGGTATTAACAAACCATTAATTAACACTACTAGCTTAATGAACTGCTAATTTCCTAATAGTTAGTACGGTGGAAGTTGGGTTTAGGTTTTGGGCATGATTAGGGATGCAGAAGATCAGACTTTATAACTCCTAATAAAAAGTTAACATCCTAATAACAGGCAGTCACTGTAATAAGCCAGTATTAATAACATGGATTGTGACCTAAACTTTACGAAGGGTAGCCAAAAAGTGTTCTGAATCAGCTGTAGGATTTTGTGTGTAAGTTCGAGAGGCCAAAAACACCTCTCACATCTGGAGAACTGCAGAAGTTAGTTTTGGTAGTCTTGAAGTCAGAGCGTCTTTAAACTACCCATCTAACATCACCAACATCAACACAAACTGCTTGAAAGGGTCTAAAGATAAAAAAGCTTTACCTTCATCCAAAAAACAACTAAACAACTATC